TCTCAACAATCCTTCAGTTCCTCCAGTGCCAGAGCACAAGAGGAACACATACTTGATTAAATTGAAAGGCAAGAGAATCCAAAACTGGTAAAAGCAAATGCTTTTTAATACAACATGGAATTGCTTTGTGGAACTCCTTGCCACAGGATGTCATTGCTGCCAAAAGATAGCAAGATTCTAAGAAGGATTAAATAATTATATGGCTAGCAATACTAGCCAAATTATAATAGCTAATGCTAAATAAAGAGTTTCTAGAAGGGATATAAAGCCCCATGCTCCAGGACTTAAGCTAATCACTAACAATTAATGATCTTAATCTTAATGAGACCTTCCTGGTATTTGTGTGTATTAATCTACCTTTGCCAATCAAACCTCCTCTGAGGCATTTGATGCTGGCCACTATCATAGACAAGATATTGGACCAGAGGCATAACTAGCCAGTACTGTGCCACCTCACACCCAGGGTCAAGAGTTCAGGGGCAGGGACTGGAGGTTTACTGCATGGCCAAAATAACAATGGTTTTCAGTAGGAAAAAAAAGTGACATCTCCCCTAGCAGCAGCATACCTATGACTGCTTCTCTGCATGCCAGAGCCAGAGCTGTTGCACAGAATGTGTAGGGTGTTGGGGCAGAGGGGAAAGGATGGAAAGGTGAGTCTCACCCCCACAACTTAGCAGCGCCTGAGGCTCACGCTCCGTTCACTTACCCATCATTATGCTATTACTCTTTGGTGCACCATGGTCTGATCTGTTGTGGAAGTTCCAAAAGAAAGACAGATCTCTTCTGGCCTTTTTTTTTTTTGGAAGGGAGGGGGGTGGAAATTATGGAAAACAGCCCCGCCAAATAAGAGCTGTGCAGAATTGTAGTTCCTGCTTTCCTTCCCTGTTCTTAAAAAAACTGCAGAACTGTTCTGTTAAACTGAAGACCTGAGTGCCAGGGCTGTACAATATCCAAGCAGGAGTGACAGGCTGAAGTAGGACTAGCTTTATTTCATATCAGTTTCATGCCTTTGACTTAAGTGGAGTTGCTCTATACCAGCACAAATAAGACAAAAATTGGGTCATGTGGCTTTTCCTGTTATCTGTAATGTACTACCTATTTAGTGCTACAGAAGTCCAGTAGTGCTCTGATTATAAACTGACCCTGCATGTACATCAACCCCACATTTTCAAGTAAAATTTTAGGAGAAACAACTTTTCTCCCTAAATATAATATTTTACAAAAAAAAATCATATTACAGTTCAAATATAAGAGGCTCCATTATAGGTCAGTTCTGCAGAAAAGTTGAGTGTGATTTAATGGTTCTTTTTGAGGAAAAAAGGGTTGACTTATAATTTGAACAATATGGTTATTATAATAATATCCGAAAGTGGGCTCAAACACTCTCAGTCAAACTGGTGAGTACAAGTTGCTGGCATGAACTTAAGTTTATGAAATGCCAACATGCACCCATTTTGCTGGCAGGCATAGGAAACAGTGTTTAACACTGCCAGTTCTTTCCATGCCTGTCGGGTTGGCAGCACTTGTCACCCCTTTCTGCTCCATACTCCTTTACATTGCCCTTGTAAGAAGCTGAGCTGTGTGGCTTAAACAAACTTCCCAAGGTAAATTTAAAGAAAACAATGGAAACCCTCCCCACTCTTTATTCCCCTTCACCATTATCTCTGATGGGGTCCTAGCTAGCTCTGAGAGGTACCAGTATGTTGTTATTTAGGACTGTCAGTGAGCCTGCTGTCCCACAGTACACAAAACAAAAAAGTAACTTTTAACTAAATAAAACTAGAAAACAGCAAGTAATTGATAGCACATGGGTTTTTTGGGACAACTCTCCTCTCTTGTGTTAACAAATACTGGAATGTAGCGTTCCAACTGAAATAAGCTTTTGGTGCCATCAGAGTATACAGGGTAAGTATTAAATACCTTAAAAAGGCACTTATGTTATGCATGTTTTGAAACATCTGCAATGGAGTTAAGCAACAGTTAGGCAAGCTGTTCCAGTGTAATGGGTTAACTTGTACACTTCCATGCGGAAATTTTTCAGGGGTGGGGCTTGGTTTTAACTCCCATTATAATGAACAATGCCACTCCAGGCCTTGTCTTCTGATAGATGTCAGCACTGCGTGGGTGCAGAGATAGTTGGCTTCATTTTATGTCTTTTCACAGTGCACCCAAGGCTTTCCAGCAAGCTTAGCCACAACACAGCCTGTTGTGTCCAATTACCTAACTTGATTGCCTTTTTGTAATAAGTAAAATTCTATCTTCCTTTTGCCTCTATACGTTGGCATAAACACAGCATATAATTGAGAGAATAATGAATCAATGTGTTTGTGTTCTTTTGATATGCTTAATAATAAAATGGCAACAAAAACATGCAGAAATGTAACCAAAAGTACTTCTGATATACAATTTCTGTTTCTCGATTCATAAAACAGAATGTCTAAAATGTAAAGAAAAAACTTTTTTTTTTTTTTGCTTTTAAAGAGTTCTTATGTTGTCTTTGCAGGAACACACAGCTTTATTTTGAACTTGAGCATGCCAGAAAAGTTTTTGAAAGAGAACTAGGAAGTTGCCATGTATTGTTATGTGCCAGATCACTTTTTTCGCTCTCTGTTTTCTCTATTTCACCTACTGTATATGGACTCCTAAATGAAATGTAACCAGTATCTGCAAAGAGGCATGTACATGTCCCCGATGAGTTCACTGCTGAGGTATTGTGTACTGCTCTTTTCAACTGTCTGAAGAAATATTTCACCATATCTATAATTACCATTAACCGCGCATCTCTAAGTTGACATTCTTTCAAAACCTTTTAAGGGTAGTTTATTTGCAAAATAAACAACTCTGGCATATTTGGGGCCAGGGTGCAAAAAGAATAACTGTGTTCACATTCTCAGAGCCTGATCCAAAGCCCATTCAAATCAGCAAGAGCTTTTTTCCTGACAGTCACAGGCTTTGGAGTAGGCCTTAGTTTTATAATTCTAAAATTATTTCTCCCCTTCTCCTTTCAGTGCTACTTGTTGCAGAAACTACTGCAAACATTTACAACTTATGAACGCTCAGTTGCAGGGTTAATACTGTGCAACTCAAAGCAATATGATAAAGTACTCCATTTTTGTGGTGGCACTCTCCTTGTAAATAATTCACCAAGGAGTGCATTTGCAAAAGGAGGCACTTGAAGCAAATGAAGCATTTTGCTTATGGGGCTTGTGCACTCATCACTCCCTGTGCCACATTTTGAAATCGTACCCTTTTAGTATCAATATTTGTTCTGCCATTACTTCCAATTTCGGCATCCTAGCATTCCCTTTATGCCTGAGCTAGGGATCCAGATGCATAAAGAAGATACCTATGAAACAAAATTACTAACTGAACTTGAAGAATGGAGAAATGTCAAGGTAAACATTTAAGGGCTGTTTTCTCTTTGAAGACACCATGTATAACTATACAATAGTATTGACTCAAGAAGTAATGCTGAACACTGGAAGTGTTCAGTCAGCATTTTAAACTATTATGAGCTACCTTCTGAACCATTGCCAAGTTAATAGACAATGAAAGATAATGAGCTTGAAATTGGGTGTTAAATTGCATTTTTGGTTCTCTCTTTTTTTTCTTAAAGTTTAACTGTTTCCTGCAGAAACAACATCTTCTTTTGATGTATCATTATGTAAATGTCTATTTTTAGGGCCCCCCGCAAAAAAAAGACAAGTGAATTCAGGGCTAAACTACACCTCCTTTTGAGTGGGTATATTAAAGGGGGCAAGTGGGCAGATAATTAATCCATAAAGGGGCCTGCTATTTTTGGGTTCCCAATGTGAAAAACATGGATATAGGGTTCAAAAGCTGCTGGCAATGTTAGTGGCTCAGGTTAGAAGGGTGCTTGCTTGGCAGGTCCATTACCTGCACACTTGAAGAAGGCTATGGCATTTGCTACATATCATCAAATATAACATGAAGCACCTCTACCCATGCTTCCACAGCCCTCTCAGGATGTTGGATTTACTAGATGCCTAAGTCCCAATGACTCCTAATTAAGCCAGGTACTTTTAGAGATGCTATCTCTTATGACTTTGACATGCCTGGGCAACATTACCATCCTCAGCACATCTTTGCTTCTAAGGTAATTGAGAACTGACTTGTCCTTTTGGAAATTAGCTCATGCAAAGTAGTAATTATTTCATAAAAATACCACAAGTGTAATATCAGGTTATTACTGACATGATGAAAGACTCAATACATGATCTAGACATAACTTCACATAAGTAAAAAAAAGTTTGACTGCTAACATGGCACACAAATGCATCTTAAAAATCTAAAAGAAGGTCCAGTATAGAATAATGGATCAGAACTGGAACAGCCATTTCAGCCACTTAAACCCTTCCTCCTTTAAAGTTATCATTGCAATGAATAATTATGGCAGGAAAATTTTGGTGAATAAAGCTTCCAGAAAACTCCCCCACCACCATGTTCCTCATATGAAAAGTTATAAGCATATCAAGAGTTAACTTTACCTCTTGCAAAGTTTTAGTTTAAAGAGTTAAAATTGCCAAAGTAATTTGAAGAGACAGGAAAAGTTTATCTGATGACATTCACCTGAATTTTTTGAGAACTGGAGATTAACTTCTGATAGGAAGGTAGGCTTATTCTCATTAGTATAATTGTAGGATCCTTCTTTTACTTTCCTTTTAAACTAATGAGTTACATTAATCCAGGTTCATTTTTATAAGCCTCTTGGGTCCAAATGTAAAGGACAGTCATTTTAGAAAACAATAAATTTAAAAAAAAGCATGTAGCATGCATTAAGTGCACGTATTTCATAAGACCTAGGTTAATACAACTGGCATCTAGTTTAATTAATCCTTGTTAGTGTAACGACTAATATCCCTCCCTAGCATGTTTCCTTTAAACATTAGTATGTTAATTAAATGTTGTTTTTTTAAGGGGTTTTTTCCTTTGTATTTCAATATGGCATTATATCATATAAAACTATTCTGAACATCTACCTTATAGAGATGTTTCCTTACAATATCTGGTCTCTTGCAGAAATTTTGAAGCCTTTTAAGAAGCTGTTCAGGTGTAGAATACAGATATTCAGCTGCAGGAAAAACAGATACATTTTTAATGAAACAAAAACCTCAAAGCACACACTCGATATTAGTCACTTTACTAATTAAAAATGCATATTGCTCTGTGCCGCCTCGTGTTTTACATTATTTAAGCATGATTTTATAAGGTTACCTCAGCTCACAAGGATGTTTAATGCTAAATAAGACTGTGTAGTTGTGCTGTTTAGACATCTCCTTTGGGTGATTAAAATACATTATTCTAATGTAACACAATGCATATGTGATACATTTAGTGATGAGATTTTTCAAAGAACTGGTACTAGTACATTAGTGTGTATCCTATACCACAGTTGCATATTATTAAGTATTAAACTGTTTAAATAATTTTGTGTGATTTTCAGGCCTCAATTTTTCTCTGTGTATCATTAAAAAAATCTGCAAGCCATTGCAGCACCGCTGACCTTTTTATAAAAATCTATCATTATGGGTTGTGTATGCTAACAATGAAGAATGCTATTTCAAAACTTGCTTTTGTGTTATCTTGAAAGAACAGATGGTAAATATAAACTTAGTGTAATGTATTAAAACACATAAAATTTTCCTTAACACTAACATGTTGGCTTGCCAAATAAACAATTGCTTTTGCTTAAGTTTATTCTCAAACTTTGTATTTTATCATGAATCATGTAATACATTTCAACAAAAAACATGTGCATAAAAGCAGCTACCTGGAAATATTTCTGGATACACCAAGGCTTTGGGACAGAGTGGATAACAACCACAATATACAGCTTCTAGCCTAAGGATTAAGAATAATAGATATATTAACAATGCATCAGTGAGCCAAAAACTTATTTTGGTCCAACGCCACTGAAGTTAACTATAGAAAGCGGAAGTAAACCGTTTTTTCTGTTCAGCAGTATAATCCTTCTAAATGCCAAAGTTGCTCTTTTTAAAGAAAATTTTATTGATCATATGAATTACATAGAACAGAACAGCGAGCATATGTTTTGTTCGCTGAATAAATCAAAGCGCAGCTCTGCATTTTTTTGTTTTTTAAATACTGTTTAACACATTTTATAATCAGCAGACAGACACATGTAACAACATGGTGAAGTATGGACAGCTTTTCTTAATAATGCTGCAGAAAAACAAGGATATTTATACAATAGCAATTACCTGGCATGAAATGTATTGTCCTTTAACTATAAGAGTTCAAAGGCTACAATTAAACATGTCCTAAGAAAGGTTTACAATATGTTCTAGGTTGGTATATTTAAGTTTATGCACATGATTCAGATCATTTTCTTCCTTTTTCAGGACATAAAATTTGTATTTCTTAATAAATACTGTCAAGATTCCTCTGCCAAAAGCATTTAGTGGTTTATACTTTTGTTTTCTCACAGAACAATTTACATCATCTTCCATAACATCAAAACTAAATATTTTATAATTGCAACAGAATGTCAGAAAGTTTTCTTATTGCAAATCTAAAGAGAAGTTATCACATTTATGTTTGCATTTTGGTAACTGAATGGGTTAAACTACTATAGTTTACTCTTTGTGAATAATGGCCATTGATCTGACATGTAATAAACTTTAAAGATACAACTGTAATTTCTGTTGGCCAGAAATTACACGGTGAAATTCAAAACACTTAAAATATGTTTATTTTATGAATCTTTGAATTTCCTCCAACATGTTGTCTATACCAGGACTTTATTTTTAACATCATTTTCCTGCCCCACAGAAAAAAATCTGAGGTTTCGTCAACATTCACCTTTTTATTTGCAATGACAACTAATGTGTTTCTGTGATTTTTGGTTAGCATGGTTCTGCTAAGTTTTTTTTTTTTGAGGGTGTGTGGTAGGGAGGGAATGTATGAAGTTCTGTTTTAAACCCCTCCTTATCTTTAACAGACCCAAAGCACATCTTTTCTCTCAAATGCTTAGCTAGATATTAATTGCAAATTTTGTCACCACAAACTGAAAAAAATAATAATTTTATGTTTTTTAATACGACACGCTCTTCAGATTGCAGTTTAAAAATTGACAACAATTTCAAAGTGTAGATCATCTAGCACTATATTTTTTTTTACTAAAGGGAAATATTTCTGATGTGTGATTTACTTGATGATTTTCAGCCTTAAATATTGTGTCA